CCCCCCCCCCCCCCCGAATCCACCCTATAAACCCAATCTTACTGCCTCCACCCACCCCTCCCCTAACATTTCGTCAAAATGCTATAGGGATTAGGGAGGGAGCTTGGGCTCTACGCGAATTTCAGTTAAATGCTAGAGAGATTAGGGGGCTGGGGATCTATCCAATGAATGATGATATTCTATAGGAGGGCTAGATGGAGGCAAGAGGATTGAGCTTATAGGGTGGGTTAGGGGTAAGACCAATCTCGGGCCGAGCCAAATTGCTGGTGTCATATGATGACACCGGGCCATTTGGGAGTCGTACGGGCGTACGGCATTCCATTGGGCCCGACACCCGGTCTTATTTCCCTAACCCACTCTATAAACCCCACCCTTACCCCCACCCTACCTCCTCCCGACATTTCACAAAAAATACCCCCTTAGCTTTTCAGCAAGTGCTAAGGGAGTTCGGGTAGGATCCGATCCCCAGCCCAATGGACCAAGCCATTCAAAACAACCGCAGTCTTGTTTGAAATGTCACATTATGGATGCCTAATTCAACTGCGCAGGTCGGAATATCATCCGGAGCTAACACGGTCGCTGCATTAGCTCTAGCCAACAGGCCCGAAAACAAAGGAAAACTCATCGTGGTAAGTACAATGAACAAAAAGAAAAAGAAACACATCATCCTCAACGATTCCCTTCCTACATTCATCTATCAAACATTCTTTCTTTTGTGTCTCAGACAGTGCATCCAAGCTTTGGGGAGCGGTACTTGTCGTCTGTCCTTTATGAAAACCTTAGGAAAGAAGCCGAGGCAATGCAACCAGTTCCTGTTGATTAAGTGGTCTAGGATACCCCAACAAATATGTTATCTAACCCTCATGTCCCACTCTTTAGATGTGTTCGCGCAACACCAAAATATGGTTTGGCTCCATTGTTGTGCAATGTGATAAGAGTAGGACATGAAGGTGTGGTAACATCTTTGAGACAGATGATCAGTCTCACACATAAACAAACTTTCCCGCATTGTTGTAACCAAATTATGAAAAGTGTGGGAGTCTCACATTTGACACGATATTTATTGTCAGTCTATGTTGTAAGTTGATGTCAAATGCGGGGTTTCTCTAAATAAAACGGCCTCGGTGTGTCATGGTTCCCTTGAGCATTCCCAATGAAAATCTTCATTTTATTTGTAAGCTCCCAATGAATTTCAAACATATCAAAATCAATTTATTGGATTCGAGTGTTGTGTTCGTGTATATTTGATTTAAGGACAAAGTATATGTATAAAATGTTCAAATTAGTCTCTATATTCAAAATTGAAGTAGTCCTGTCCTTTTAGTATTCTTTTTTGTTCAAACATGTTTTTCTCTTCACTTTTTCTCTTATCTAATGTTAAGAATTCTTAGCAATGACGTTTAATTTTACTCTAGATGACATAGTATGTTGTCTTAGCATATTAATTCATACATTTTATATAGTTTTAGCCATTATACAATAAGTATTTTTTCTTTATATTTTTAATAAAATAATTTATATAAAAAATACATGTTGATCTTTGCTTTTTTTAATTAAAAAAATCAGCATGCCAAGATAATATTTATATCCAAAATAGAAGTTTGCATTTTAATATTATGACAGTGTATAGTGAAATCTCACTAAATTTTTTGATATGGCATATTGCCATTATTGACATTGTACTTTTATTATCTATACTTTATTTAAAAAGAGAGGAAACCTCATTTTGTTTCCCCGCCTAAGTGGCCTTCACTCACAAATGGTAATTGCTAAACTTGAATATGTAAGTGTTTAATGTTAATTCTCCATTAAAAAGTAATTAATTTTTTTGATTTAACACAGTACCGTGTGTAATAAATTAAACACATGCGAAACTGATTAAAATGTAACGTGTGTAATAAAATAAAATGTTAAAATGGTAAATAACAACAAAAAGGTGTGTAATAAATTAAAATGTTGAAATTGTAAGAAACACTAAGAACCTAATTTATATTTATAAATTAAGATGTAATTAAAAACACGGAAATGGTAAGTAAAACAAAAAAGGTGTGTAATAAATTAAAATGTTGAAATGGTAAGTAATACCAAAAAATATCAAAAACGTAATTTATATTTATAGATTAAGATAAAAAAAATACAGAAATGGTAAGTAACACCAAAAATTTGTGTAATAAAATAAAATATTGAAATGGTAAGTAAAAAAACGTAATTAATATATATTTACAAATTAAGATGTAACGTGTGTATAAAATGTAATTTAAGGTATATTAAATTTATGATACAGTGTTATAAAAAAAGTAATTAACACGGTACCGTGTTTCATTTTAACTTCATACAAATTTTAAATAAAATGATTTCAAATTAAATAATTACCTTATTTACGGTTTTGGTAAGAATTAATAATAAATACATTGTACGTACCTATGAAATAAATAAAATAATTTCCTTATTTTATTACGTGTGTAATAAAATGACATTTTGAAATGGTAAGTAAAACCAAAAAGGTGTGTGGTCAATTAAAATATTGAAATGGTAAGTAACACCAAAAAGGTATATAATAAATAAAATGATTTTGAATAAAATAAGTACCTTATTTGCGGTTTTGGTAAGAATGAATAATAAGTACACTGTAAGTGCTTATGAAATAAATGATATGATTTCCTTATTTTATTACGTGTGTAATAAAATAAAATTTTAAAATTGTAAGTAAAATAAAAAAGGTGTGGAATAAATTAAAAATGTTGAAATGGTAAATATCACCAAAAACGTAATATATATATATATATATGTGTGTGTGTGTGTAATATATATATATATATATATATATAATGTATCCTTACCTTGTTTTGAATAAAAAATTTATTATCGTGTTGGACATGAGTTTTTGGAGAGATAAAATAGTTACGCATAAATAAATGAATTGTTAATTTATAATATCTTCTTAGTGGAAATTCAAACTTAAATTCAAATATTTCCTTGGAATAATGCAAGGGAGAAGAATCATTGTATTTTTAATTTTTTAAAATTAATACAGAGTATTTTTTGTCATAAAACCATTAATCCATATTTTTATATTTTAATAATGGGGAGAAAGAAAAATCGCTTTTAATGAATGTGGAGAGAAAGGGTATCATATTAATACATGGGTGAAAAATTACATTTTTTCGTTAATCTATATTTATGTAGGATTACAGTAAATCAAGATTTTTTTCAATTAATGCAGGGGAGAATAATTTTAAGATTAGTAATATTTTTATAAGAGAACTTGTAATCTTACACCAACAAAAATGACACAAGTAATTTCCATTCGCAAAATTGATGGTTTCCACCCCTAACCCAGACCGATCAATTTTACCCCGTCCACAACCCAAGGCCTCTTGCACCCTCCACAGATCACCGATTTGGGGCCCCAAATCTAGAAGGGGGAAGGGGTGCATTGGGGCCGGGATGGGGGCAAAGTGAGATTGATGGGTCGGGGGAAAGGGTTAGGGGATGGGTTAGAGGGTAGTACCAATGAAATACTGCAGGTGCCCAAAAATCGCTAGTGTCACGATGATACACCACTGAAGTGGTGTAACATTACAAGTTCTCTTTATATATTACTCCATCCGTCCTAAAACGTTCTTCTCAGTTTGACTTTTCCCATTTTTATTTTTGGCTTTGACTTTAAATTTTACCCTCCTTAAAGAAAATTTTTTGAAATTTTTTTTGCAATCATTCAAAATATAGAGTTAGAAAATAATTGGTGTAAATACATTAAAGTATTAATGTCATTTGTCATCTTTTTTTTCCTAATGGGAAAGTAGTTTTAGGATGGAAAAAAGAGGAAATGAGAAAAACGTTTTAAGAAAGAAGGAGTAATATTTTTTTATTTAATGTGTGTGAGGTGAATCATAAGTGTGTATCACAAAAAAGTTCTTCTTTAATATTTGAAAAAAATAAACAATTTTTTACTGTTTAAATAAATATTTGTTTTTTAATAAAAATAAAAAATAAAATTTTATGTTAGAAGATCTACAAAAATAATCTCCACCTAAGATGCATCATAGAAACAATCTTTGAAAATAGTTTAACACTTATACATGACACGAGTTAAAATACGTACAAACAAAAAAATCAAAATTTGTGATCAATTTATAAAATAAAAAATATAAAATAAAAAGAGTCATCTGCACTACACATTACACATGCTCCGCAAGATCTGAGCAATTGGGAGAAAAGCCAAAACAGTTTACACTCATTCGCCCAAAAAATAACAGCTTAGGGTTTGACTGGAAAAAAATTTGGAAATTTCTTGAAAATTCAGAGGGGAGATTTTTCCGGCGATTTCCGCTTCTCGCCGGCCGATCTCCAAATTGTCCACACAATTTCCGCTCCCAATTCTTCGCCTTATCCTATTTTCCCGTTCGATTTTTCGCATTTCTTTGCCATTTTTTTTTAATTTTCCAGAGAAAGATTGCGGATTTATAGATATATTGCACTCAATTATATGTGAGTGGGTCTGCGTTGGAGAGAGAGAGAGTGAGAGAAAGAGAGATAGATGGGATAGCAGGGAAGGGGGTATTTAACGACAGCTGTTTTTGTCTCTGACGCGGGAGAATTCAATTTTATTTTTCCCAAACAAAATACAATTCTTGATTTTTCCAGTGTCCTGAATTTTCTGTCCACCTTCTTTTATATTTTTCAAACAAAGATTTGAGCTCCAATTTTTTTGCATGCAATCCGGTGGTGGGGCCCAGCAAGGAGGTGGTGCCGCCGCCGGGCATGGGCGGGGCACGGCAGCCTCGGCGTCTGCCTCTCCGTCCTCATCCTCTTCGGCATCTCAGCTGGACCAGCAGCAACAGCAACAACATCAGAGACAGGTTAGGGTCTTTAGTTCATACATTTTTTTTTAACACATTTCCCCCCCCCTTTTGCTAAGAGTTATGAAATGAAAGCAAGATTTGAAAAAAAAGCTATTATTTTTGTAATTTCTGCTAAAATCTGAAAAATTGAAATTTTAGTAAGTGGGTGAGTGTGAAATGTGTTGCCAATTCGCAAGTGTAGCTGTCCATGAGTTGAGCTAGGCCTTATGATTTCCTTTGAAGATTTCTACAAAAATGTAGCGGTGCATGAAGTGTTTAAAATCTTAAAAGTGAGGACTTTCATCACGGTGAGCTTGATTTAGACTTATTGACTAAAGTAAATGAGTCTTTATTTTAAGGAATGTGGGTTTTCTATACTTATATTTGATTCCACGAGGTCTCTTGTAGCTTTTACTTCAGCCGAATAAAGTCTTAAAATTAAATTGAAGCTCATGTAATCTATTCCCTGAATATCCTAAAGTTATTAAATGAATTTTTTCATAGCTATGTTTTGCTGACCTAGTGTTAGTTGAAGTTGAAAACTATGATGGTTTCGACTCTGGAGCTTGGTTCCAAAACTTAAAGGGCCTTAAATGTACATTGGGTACAAATTTTTTGTTGAAATTTTGGTGCCAACCTCTTAAATGACCATCCCACTCTTTACTTGATTATTCTCAATGGCCATGCGTAAGTTGCAACATTCATATTCACTATTTTGTCAATGTCTTCATAGCATAACACGAATTTCAAATTTTCTTACTATAGACCTGTTTGAAACATTGAATCATCATAACTTTTATATAGTGATACTTTTAATTGTAACTGGCACTTTTTGCTCCAGTCTAATGGGTTTCTGTTTAAAGGAAACAAACACACTCCCTCCATCTCTTTCGGAATAACTTTCCTTTTAATGTTGTAATTAAATAGGTGTTCTAATTAAGTCGTTCAGTAAATATATGAGTGTGAACGGGCAACTTTTCCCTTAATTACTTTTTGCAAATCTCTTTCTCTTTCCTCTATATTTTTACACGGTACATATTGCAAGAGAAAACAAAATACCAATGCATCAAGTTCAATCTACTGTCTAAACCTTTATCGGAAATGAATTATATGTTAGCTTCTTATGGTGATCATTTTAAACATGTGATGCAGTTATTGCAGCAACAGTTCCTGAGAAGACCTGAAGAAAGCGACCCTAATTTAGTTTATCAGGCTGGGAGTGTACATGGATTTTTAGGAGCGAACAATTTTTCTGGAGGATCTTCTAGCTCCATGCAGATGCCTCAACAGTCAAGGAAGTATGTTGATTTGGGACAGCAGCATGGTTCCTCCAACTTACGAAATGATGGTCAGAACAGGAGTCAAGGCTTTGAACAACAAATGTTAAATCCTATGCAACATGCTTACCTGCAGTATGCTTTCCAGACAGCCCAACAGAAATCAGCTTTTGGGTTGCAATCTCAACAGCATACAAAGATGGGAGTATTTGGCACTTCAGGGAAGGATGAAGAAACTAAGCCTGGAAATACAAAAGTTCCGGATCTCGTATCCATGCAGATGACAAACCAGTCACATGCTTCATCGTCCAAGATGCCATCAGAGGATTTCTCACACAAAGCGGCAACAGATCATGGCCAAACTGGTCAGAGGAGTGATCTTAAGTCGCCTGACCAGTCCATGTTGCGTGGACAAGCTGTGGCGGTGAGGCATATGCAGGCACAACAGACTATTCCGAATATCACAAATAACCCTCTTATGGCTGCTCAGATGCATGCACTTCAAGCTTTGGCATTTGAACGGAACATTGATCTGTCAAATCCTTCCAATGCAAGCATTATGGCACAGCTCATTCCACTAATGCAGTCCAGAATGACCCAACAACCAATTTCCAGCGAGAACAATATGCCTTTACAGTCTCCATCTGTTCATGTGCCAAAACAGCAAGTTAATTCTCCTCGAGTTGCAAATGATAGCTCTCCCCATGGTAACTCCTCCAGTGAAGTGTCTGGGCAATCAACTTCTGCTAAAAATAAATTGACTGTAGCTAGTGGTCCACTTGCTTTGGCACAGAGTGCAGGCTCAGCGAATCACTCTAGTAAAATATCTATGCAACCCTATGATCAAAGCAGAGAAGAGCAGTTGCCTCCCAGGCAACAAATGATGCCTGCCAATGGATTGACTCCTTATAACATGCAGACATCTTTGAATACTTTGCAGGAGAAAGAGAATTCAATTATGGCTAACTCCGCCTCAAGTGCCCCAGAAACTATGCATATGATGCAAATAAAGCAGCTGAGCAGACCTTCATTGCAACCTGCAACCTCATCTCGGGAGGGAAGCTCTGCAATCCCCCCTCAATCTCAGAATGGAACCATGCCCCAGTTGCAACAACCACATTTGGGGTTTTCTAAACAGCAGCTTCATGTTCTTAAGGCTCAAATACTTGCATTTAGGCGAATAAAGGTTTGCATATGCACAGTTTTATCATTGTTGAAAATGCAAATATGAGTTCTTTTTCATGAATGCGTTCTTCTTGATTACTTGCTTACAGAAAGGAGACGGAGCTTTGCCGCGCGAGTTGCTCCAAGCTATCGTTCCACCTGCTCTGGATTTGCAAATGCAGGCTAATCCTCCTAAAGGACCTCCCAATCAAGACCGATCTACCACAAGAACTGCAGAAGAGCCTGCACAAAGTGTGGAACGTATAGAGAAGGAGGTTAAACTCGTGATGCCTGCAGAAGGACAAAATATTTTGGAGGAAGCAGGTGCTGTAACTGTTGATTTGAAAACTAAGACCACTGTGGCTAATGAAAGCACGTCACTGTCTCCTGCAGCAAAAGAAGAACAGCAACCTACAGGATATTCTGGTAAATCAGGCCAGGATGTTGAACATAGCATTGAGAATAATCCTAGTAAAAGCGACATCTCAACAGGAAAGGGGAAAACAGATCCTCCTGAAGCTAATATTTCTGATACCATGCAAATAAAGAAACCTGTACAAACGGGCCTTATGACTCATCCCAAAGATGCTGGTGCGGCTCGCAAGTATCATGGTCCATTGTTTGATTTCCCTGTCTTCACACGGAAAAATGATGCTTTTGGTTCAACCATGATGGTGCCCAATAGTAATAATTTGACACTGGGATATGAACTCAAGGATCTTATAGCTGAAGAAGGCATAGAAGTTTTTAAGAGAAGAAGGGAAGAAAATATAAAGAAACTTGGTAAGGTTCTTTCTCTTAATACAGAGAGGAAGAGAATCCGACCAGATCTTGTTATACGACTTCAAATAGAAGAAAAGAAACTTCAGCTTGCTGATGTGCAGGCACGTTTAAGGGATGAGATTGAGCAACAACAACAAGAAATAATGGCAATGCCAGACAGACCATATAGAAAATTTCTTCGATTATGTGAACGTCAACGACAAGATCTTGCTAGGCAAGTACATGCCTCTCAGAAATCCATGAGAGAAAAACAGTTAAAGTCTATCTTCCAGTGGCGCAAAAAACTTCTTGAGGCTCATTGGGCAATTCGTGATGCTCGAACTGCTCGCAATCGGGGAGTTGCTAAGTATCATGAGAGAATGTTGAGGGAGTTCTCAAAGAAAAAAGATGATGATCGTAATAAAAGGATGGAAGCCCTAAAGAATAATGACGTGGATAGATACAGAGAGATGTTATTAGAACAACAGAGTTGCATTCCAGGCGATGCAGGGGAGAGATATGCTGTTCTCTCATCGTTTCTATCTCAGACAGAAGAGTATCTTCATAAGCTAGGAAGTAAGATAACAGCAGCCAAAAATCAGCAGGAAATTGAGGAGGCAGCAAGTGCTGCCTCTGCCGTAGCAAAGGCTCAGGTATTCTTACCTTCAATATGATTTATTTAGTTATGATTTTCTCAGTGCTTGATCTGCGTATACTCTACTTTTTGTGGTTGGACAATGAGTTCAGTTTTTTTTTTTTGTGAGTGCTCATAGGATGTGCCAGTAAGATTTAATCAGTGAAGAAAACATTTTTTAAGTGCAAAGAAATGATGAATGCTTTTGGGACAGACATCCTTTTCTTTTTTATTTGCCTTTCCATTTCTGCTTTTTTCACATATCCACGAGGAGGTAGACTTGAATCTAAGATGCCTTGAGTTTTTCCATACTTGTCTTTCATTATAGTCTAAGTGTAAGATACTATCCCTTCTCATACTTATTTACCTATCAGTTTTGTTTATGTCACACATGTCTTATATTTCTTTGCAATAGGGTCTATCTGAAGAAGAAGCAAGAGCGGCTGCCTCTTGTGCCCGAGAGGAGGTGCTGATAAGAAATCGTTTCTCTGAGATGAATGCCCCAAAAGATGGTTCATCTGTTAATAAGTACATCCTCTTTAATCATTATTTTCAAATTTTACCAGGCATTTATAATAATCATGAGGGGTTACAATAATTTAGTCTGCGCTTTATGTTTACATTTTATGCTGAAGAACAATTTCATGCTATTGGCTTTTAAACTAATGTTTTTCCCTGGAAAACTACAACTACTGCAAATTGTATGTTCGTATGATGGTTTCATTTTTTGCACTCTTTCTTCTATTTTGTATAATGTGCTAGTATATATTTATTATGTTGAATATTCTCAGTTTTTGGTACAAATAATCTGATTTATGTTGGCACCAGATATTACACTCTTGCCCATGCTGTTAATGAAAAGGTTTTAAGGCAGCCTTCAATGCTAAGGGCTGGAACGCTACGAGATTATCAAATTGTATGATTTCAACTTTCAAATATGATTTTTTTTTGATTTTTTGGTGTTTGGCTTATGGATTTTGTATCCAAGTTCTTTCTAGTTTTGGTAGTTAAATGTTCTCTACATGTTTATATAGGTTGGTTTACAGTGGATGCTCTCTTTGTATAACAACAAATTAAATGGAATTTTGGCTGATGAGATGGGCCTCGGAAAGACTGTTCAGGTTAATAGTTATTGCATGCTGCTGGTATTGATCAGTTTTCATTTTGCATCAACAATGATTAACTGTGTGCCATGTCCTTGTTTTGCCTTTTGAAGGTTATGGCATTAATTGCTTATTTGATGGAGTTCAAAGGAAACTATGGTCCACATCTTATTATTGTTCCCAATGCTGTTTTGGTTAACTGGAAGGTTGCTTATATCTAATTGATTTCTTACTCTTCTAATTGTTTGATAGACATGAATAACTTTAGTCAATTTTCCAGAGTGAGCTTCACAATTGGCTTCCATCTGTATCTTGCATTTACTATGTTGGTGTAAAAGACCAAAGGGCGAAGTTATTTTCTCAGGTTGGATGCTTTATTTATTTAGTTGGTGTAAGCTTGATACATTGATACCTGATATGGCGTGGACATTTATTTTTAATTTTTTTGTGTCATCTTTCTTTAGGAAGTTTGTGCAATGAAGTTCAATGTTCTTGTGACCACATATGAGTTCATCATGTATGATCGTACAAAGCTTTCAAAAGTGGATTGGAAGTACATTATTATCGACGAAGCCCAGCGTATGAAGGATAGGGAATCTGTTCTTGCTCGCGATCTTGACAAGTACAAGTGTCAGAGGCGTCTACTTCTCACTGGTACCCCCTTACAGGTTTGTAATGTACTAAGCAGTTGCTTACAAGGATTATTGCATTTAGTACCTTGAAGTAATTTAACAAGTTACTCCGGCGTATAAGAATATTAGTTTTCACAGATGCCACTTAGTAGAAGGTTTTCAAAGTGAAAAGAACGCCAAAGTTAAGCTCTTTATTTTAAAAAAGCAACCCAAAGAGAAAAGAAGACAAGTTTTAATACTCACAATGATACTAATATAGTACTCCTTCCATCCGCTTTTAGTTGTCCTCTTTCTGTAATAGTAGTATCTCATTTGAAGGAATGAGTAAAATATCAATTATGTCCTTTGATATGATCTTGCCGTTCGTTCATTAAAACAATGCACATATGCTATCGTTACAGTGTTTTAGACTGTTCGTCATATTTTTCTGAATTAATTATGGAAAATGGACAACTAATTCTGAACAAACAAAAATAAAAAAGTGGACAACTAAATCCGGACAAAAAGAGTACATTGTTTTAAAGCATAGTATTACAAGCTAATTGGAAACTTAATCATTGTCCTCAATTGCCAACATTATTGCAACATATTTTTTTTATTTATATAGGCTTTGTTTGATATTTTTTATTGCAATTTGCAATCAATCACATAGTTCACAGAAGGGGGGCTATCACTCCCAAAGTATTGTAAACTGAATTATTTAAGTTACAACTTCATAGATTTTGATGGGTTTTTTAATGTAAAACTTACAGTTTTTGGTTTTCTTAGAATTATACTATAAGATATTAAGATAATAATTTTCTATAGAATTTTACACCATGAATTTCCATATGTAAATATGTAATGCTACCTCCGTTCGGGAGTATTTGTCTAGTTTTGACTTTTTTCAGTCAACCATTTTCAACCTTTGACCTATAATTAAAAAAATACATATTGTATATTAATTGGATAAAACAATATTTTGAAAATATTTTATATAATATGTTATACCCGGGCCTGGCCTATCATACCCTCCCCCATGTCCTACACCCTCGCAAAAACCAAAGGACTTACGTTCAAACATTATGATCCGTTTTAGTGAGAATTCCAGGTCCTTCAACCCGAGAGGCCTGAATAACTTCGGACCCAAGGTTTCCGCAGACCAAATCCCACTCCGTCCAACCCAACCCTAAACATCCAAAACTCCTTGCCATTCAATTCATTTCAAAATAAAGCTTTTCCTACTCTTATTTTAGCCCTGGCAGAAAATAAGTGTGTAAAATAAAACCTTTTGTTTGTTGTTATTTTCCTTCTTTTAAGCCTTTTATTAAACAAATAAAACCCTCCCTTTATTCCATTCATCCCCTGGACAAAATACACTTCACAACCCCAACACAACACCCAAAAAGAGCCAAAATCCTGACCCACCACAAACCACTAATCCCTGCCCATGTTCCCCCACAAATAACCCAAACCCATATGTCCAAAACCACCCCTAATATTGCCCAGCCCTGTCCCCTTTTATTGGCCAAACACAACCCCTCATTTTTACCCAAATAATAGCCTTAAAACCCAGGAACCAAC